TGAGAAAAATACAAAATCAAAACACTATAAGTAAACAATGGAATGGAATGTGTTTTGGTAATTTGTCAAACAATGGAATGGAATGAGCAACACACAAGATCAAAACATGATAAGTAATTGGAAATGTTCACCATATTGATCATTACACCCACAAATGTAGCATGACATATGGCTAATATCAACTTAATTACATCACTAATTTAGGTAGTTGCAAAAGATGTAATTATCTAGATTAAACATGTTTGAACAAAAGCATCATTACAAGTTTATAATCTTAAACAAAAGGTAGGCAAATAACTTAATTAGTCATGCTTCACATGATGATCCAACTTCATTTAGGTCCTACTTTCTGCACTTGAGGCTTTTTTCCCTTGTCCCTTTTCTTTACTCTTAATCCACCCACTACAACTTCACTTGATCCACCCACTGAACCTTGACTTTTTACACCAATTGCATCTTTACTTGATCGACCCACACCACCTTGACTTGATCCACTCACTGCTCTTTGACTTGACCCCCATTTCCCCTTACATGTTCTAGAGTTATGTCCTTTATTATGAAACTTAGAATAAGTAACAGTCAAGAATTTCCTTGATAGGTTTGTTGACTGGTTAGTAGGCTCATCTATAGCCCTCCTCCTCTTTTTCTTGGGCCTTCCAACCTACAAAAATATTAAGGAAATCATAAAACAGGATGAATAAGAAAATATGTTAAGTAATATTCAACTTACTTGTGTATGATGTGTAGGGGGTATAAGAGTGGTTGGACATCTAGATTTTGGCCACATGCTCCTACCATTGATTGGATCTATTTTGTTGGAGTACATTGCCCTCCATGTTTCTAACTTATAACAGGGATGCACCCAATATTCAGGTTGTTGTGCATTTTCACCATTTTGAATATGTTCCCATATTGCACAAACTCTATGCCTGTAGACTATCCCTGTTATCTCCTAATACCTACAACTGCATGTCCCCTCTTTCAAGTTTACTACATACTGATCAAACATCATACCAGTCACTTGATGTTTTCCATCACCACAGAAGAGTGCCTTGTATTTGCTTGCAGCTGTTTTGATTGTGTCAAGTATAGTAGTTGATGTAGGGGTTAATATAGTTTTGCATTTATCAATTTCCTTTTGTACAATGCAATGTCTCTTCATCAAGTACATTGTAATGTACTATAAACAGGTAATGTTAGGCTTGTACCTGCCATGCTCTAGCTTAGAGTTGAATACTTCACACAGATTGTTTAGCAGACAATCTGAATGTGCTCTACCTGAAAAATGAGACCTAGCCCAATGGACTGGAGGAATCTTACTTAGCCATTCATGAGCCTCCTTACTGAAATCTTTGAACTCATTCATTTCCCTTTCAAAATCCCTAATGGTTGTATTTGTAGCACACCTCCACAAATGATCTCTAAACTCTTCTCCCCTCCATTGTAGCTTCATGTTTTCATGTATATGTCTCAAACACCATCTATGCTCTGCATTGGAAACACTTTTGCTCTTGTAGTTATTATTCCCTACATATAATGTAATTAATAGTTAGTATTGTTACAACTTTTAAAAGAGACTTATGTTATATGTATTCATACCTTTTGTCTGTCAGATACAAAAGTGAAGTTGCATGATGCATCCAAATCCAAATCACCACTAAGGAATTCCAAAAACCATGTCCATGAACTTGTTGTATTAGCTACCAAAACTGCATAAGCTAGTGGATATATTTCATTGTTGGAATCAGGACCCACAACTGTTAGAATTTGTCATGGTTGTGGTCCTTTCAAGAAACATCCATCCAATCCCAGAAATTTCCTTTTTCCAGATTTGAACCCCAACTTAAGTGCTCCAAGACAAATGTAAATCCTTTTGAAAATACGAGTTTAAACATCATGATTTGGTTCATTACACACTTCCAGCTTCACTGTTGTACCTGAGTTGTTGGTTTGTAACTCCAAACAATAATCTCTCATCAAATTGTATTGCCTTTCGTAGTCACTATATAGTTGTTCTTTTGCAATTGATTTAGCCCTGAACACCTTCATTCTTGATATGATTAATTCCAAATTCATTTGAAGCTCCTCCTGTAAGGCTGTTACTGGGATGCGAGGGTTGGAATCCACTTTTTGGAGAATAGTGCTTGCCAGGTTTCTAGATGTACATGCCTTCACTTTTATACTTTGTAAGCATAAATGTAGCACCTGGTTCTTGGTACATATTCTTTTATTAATATTTTTGCATTTTGGCCTTGGACTCGGTGAGTTGAAGGACCAACTCGCCGAGTAAAAGCGGGATGAGACGCGGGGTTTAAGCTGTGGACTCGACGAGTTGGGTCCTGGACTCGGCGAGTACGCCCTGTCCGGACAAAAACCCTAACCCAGGGGTTTGCACCCTATTTAAACACCTTAACACGGTCTCTTTCGTCCCATTTGCTCCCAGAAGACCCCCATAGCAAACCCTAGCCGTTATTGAAGCAATCTAAGGAATTTGGAGTGATTTTGGTGCTTTTATGACCCAATGAAGGAAGGAAAAGCTTGAAGGATCAAAAGGAGGCTAGAAGGATCTGATTTTGAGCATCATTTGCATTCTACAGAAGGTATAAAGTCTATACCTTGTTTGTTCTTTTGATAGATCCCATTTTGTGGGGTTTTAGGGCTTTTCTAAGCCATTTTGGTCACCAACTATGATTGCAAACATGGTTAGGGGTTGATGTTTCAAATCTAGGCCCTTAGAGGGGTTACAAGGCAGAAAGGAGTGGCTCTTGCAATCAAAGAAGGCCCCATGCATTGAAAGAGACTGTTTTAAGACCTTTTGAGCTCAAAGTCCCATGGAGGGACGTAAAGGTTGTAACTTTACGTGCTAGATCGATTGTAGAATTATAGATCTATATTTTGATCAAGGGTTGTATATCAGAAATCGAAGATTTAGTAAGAGGATGTGACCAACTCGAAGAGTCCATTCTTGGACTCGGCGAGTCCAAGGTTTCTGTTCCGTATCAGTTGAGCATCATAAGGACCCAGTTGAGTGTGGAAAGGTTTTAGGGGGTCCCAGGGAGTGACCCAACGTTCTGGACTAAACCATTGTTCTGGGAGTTCATGGAACTCGGAGAGTGCATGAGCAGACTCGACAAGTCCAAGGAAAACTTCTTAAGGATGAAGATGAACTCGATGAGTTGTTCATATAACTCGGCGAGTCAAGGACAGGACCTGTGTATCAGTTGAAGATGAACTCGACGAGTTGTTCATACAACTCGGTGAGTCGGATGTGGATTCAGTCGATGTTCATTTAGAAAGGAAAATTCGTCGAGTCATCGCCTAACTCGACGAGTAGAGACTGGTATAAGGACAAATGGAAGGATAGGGACTCAGCGAGTTGGCGAGCCAACTTAGCGAGTCAGGTCAACTAGAAGTTGACTTTGATTTTGATCTGGTCAGGGGTAAAATGGTTATTTTACCCTAAGAACAGTTAGCAGTGTATGACTAAGTGTTTTGTGGGAATTATAGTCGGAGGATTTCCGGAGCAGCAACGACAACAGTCAGAGGATTCCCGCACAGATCAGCAGCTACTACGAGGTGAGTTACCTTCCAGTAGCGGTGGGTCTACGGCCACAATGCCGGCCCACTAGTAGGAGTTGTATGATTAGATGATTTCCTTTGTGATATCATCTAGGTTTTGCTACTACCTGATATGTTATATGCTGGCGTGATATGTTATATGTGATAGTAGTAAAGTTTGGTTGTTAGGACCGAAGGGTAGGTCAGACACCCCAGATATGTCTGATAACATGTGCTTATATGTTTATATGCTGACATGATATGTTATATGTGATAGCGGTAGTAGGAGGGGAATAGTCCCCAAGTTCGGTTGTTAGGACCGAAGGGTAGTTCGAACACCCCAAATATGTCTGATAGTATGTTTATGTTATGATATATGTGATAGTAGCAGTAAGGGGTGGAATAGTCCCCGAGGGTCAGTTGTTAGGACCGACGGGTAGGTCAGCACCCCAAAATGGCTTGGCATGGGTAGGACGGCACCCTATAATGGCCGCATGGGTAGGACGACACCCCAGAATGGCCGCATGGGTAGGTCGGCACCCCAGAATGGTCGTACCGGGTAAGTCAGGCACCCCACAATTGCCCGGCACTATGTATGCTATGTGATTGCATGGTATGTGGTACGATGGGGGAACTCACTAAGCTTCGTGATTACAGTTTACAATTTTGGTTTCAGGTACCTCTTCAGCAAAGGGGAAGGAGCTGGTGCGGTAGCGGCGCATCATACACACACTCTTTGTTTTCTACACTATGAGTTATTTTGGGAATTGTACTCTGACATTATTATGTTTTTATGATTCGGTTTTCAGATACGAGACATGCTTTTATTAAATGATATGACCAGTTGATATTTTGATACAAATGTTGTGCAAATCACGTAATCAAAAATGAAATTTTTGGTCATGAAAATTGGGTCGTTACAATAAATGCTCATCAATAACTATCTTCACCAATCATTGTTCTTCTTCCGTAGATCTAGATATTTGAATAGCAAAAGGACAAGAATCTTTTTGTGAAATGATTGGTTTGCCCTTCGATGTGACTTTACTTACAGTGGAGGGCCCACCATCAGTGGAATCTGGAACCACCCCTTTACACTTTACTCTAACTCTCAGTTTTTCATTTTTGGCCATGTGTAGCGCCCTCCTTGTTTTTATTGAAAGCATCTTTATGTGGCCCTTTATATATTTTTTTGGTTTTGAAAGCTTGACCCACAATAAATGGTGTAACATGAACTACCCCAGAAGAACAAGGCACCTTCTTGTTCAAGTTTTTTTTAACATTCACTTCCTTGGGTCTTCCTCATATTCTGCATCTTCAAAATCATCATTGTTGATCACACATAAATCATCATCTTGGTTTAATTATAATTCTATGTTTGGTCCTTGTCCAAACCATTTAACCTCATCCACACAACTGGTAAACTCACTCATATCAACCTCCTAGTCATCTAAAATAGCTTCTGGGTCAACAATGTAGTAAGACTCATCCTCTTCTTCTGTATGTTCTTTTGAATCATCTTTTGAATCTTCTGCATGCCCTTGTTCATCTTCTTCATTCTGTTCTTCTTCAACTGCAACCTCTCTTTCAAAGTCACCTATATTCTGATATCCATCACTATTAAAAGGCTCAAAATCATCTAATATTTCTCTATGATCCTGGCAATTAATATCAACTGTAATATCTTGCATTGTATCAGTTTCTTTTGGTACAGGGAAATACGAATCATCCTTAAAATCATTAAGCACATCTTGTTTATTTGGCTCAAAAGGAACTAGGGACATGGAAAAATCATACACACTATCTTCTATTTATGCTTGATTAGCTGATTCTTTAAGTGGGACATTCGTGTCTAATTTCTTGCTACAAGAACCAATTCCCTTCTTATTAGGCCTAATCCTATTAAGTTCAGATCATCTAATTGCTCAATAACAACTTTACTCGGGGACATGAAGTAAGTGTGAAGTCTTGTAGAACCATGTTCAATGTACACATTAATCACTCTGTCTTGAGGGACATATTGAGCCATAGATATAACGTCTTGATCATTTCCTAGAGCCTTCAATAAAAAATCTAAGTCTAGATTAGGAATTCTATAATGATAGTACATTGTGTCATCCGTAGAATACCCTATCTCACGAATCATGTCATTTAGATCATGAACTAAAAAAAGATCAGTGTCAACGAAGTCAAAGAATGTCAACCTTCCCTCAACGTACTTTCTTCCTGGGAGCTTTGTAAAAAATCCACCATGATGTATCTTTAAAGTGAAGAAATTGTCGTGACCATCTGAAAAAGAAAAATCGATGAGCTTTGAATATACACACCAAGAAACACCCAAAAAAAATTAAACTTATTGTAATCTTTATCAAGGTCGGGTGCAATCGTATGAGGACCACGTAAATTCCACATACACAATACCATTTTTAGTTGATAAACCCTAAAATCGGATGTGAGGGATGAAGGATGAAGATCGTCAAGATGATCAGTATGATAAGGTGAAGTGGAGATGAAGGGGGGTTTCTTGGACTCTGGTTAATAGAGGATAGGTTAATGACGTATCACTGCCTAATCAAATCTTAAATGAGCGCCAAAAATAAAAAGACGAATATACCCCCACATTAATGACCCCAAACGGCTACAAACTGACGGAGTTATGAAAAAGGACCTCCAATGCAACTTTTACAAACCACAAGGGGCAAACATATCAAAAATACTTAGGGACTAAGTTTGTTACTTTATACAAACCACAGGGACCATTTTTGTAATTTTGTCTATAATATTCTGATAGAATATGTGAATATTATATAATTATATTAAAAATTTGTTCCCAATTGAACAGTTCCTTGATCTTATTGGACCACTTTTTTATATTTTATTTTATTTTATATATTTTTTTATTTATTTTCCGTTTATTGACTGATTTTTTTTTTCTTTTTGATAATTATACTGCATAGTGGATTACACGTCATGGCCAAGTGTTATCTCCTCAAACGATTCACCGCCCATACACACTTTCATCGATGTTCCCCACCGCTTCCCATTCTATAATCTGTCCTTCATTTTGCTTCCCGCTTCCGTCTCTAACACCAGACACAAATCCAGTTTCTTCCTCACTTATCTCCGCCGCTTCACCTTCAATCAGAAACAATCATCACCTTCCAACTCCATCGCTCATCGATTGTCCGCTTCAACAGACCACAATGGATTTATTCGCTTTAGTTCGAGAGGGGCAGCTCTTGGTTGTGCGACAACGTTGGTTGTCGGTGGCACTGGCTGGAGGTGTTGTGGTCTTCAGGTGATTTTCTTCTCAGTCTTCTTTCTTTCTCTCTCTCTGCTCTAATTCTGTAAAATTGGTTTGATTCTTCAAAAGAATCAAGATTTATGTTTGATTCTGTAAGCCCTACACCCTGAAAAAGTCCCCGTTCCCCCGATTACTATTTTCTCAAAATTAGGGCTTTCATTTTTTTAGTAGTCGTTTGTTTCTTGACCAACACTTTCATCTTGATTGCAAAATCTACTCTCTCTCATCTGTGATATCATTAAAATGTGATGTGGATTTTTTTTCAGAGATAAAAAGATGGAAGAGATGAAGGTTTGAGAAGTGTGGAGTGTTCAGAGGCTAATTGATTGCTGAAAGATCATATTCCAAGGCTACTAAAGATGGATCTAAACAAATTGACAAAAAGGTTTGCATTTTTCATACTCATTGTATATTTGTAGAATTGATGATTTTTTTTACACACCATATGCTTTTCACTATTGGATTGTGTGTGTGTGTGTTTGTGTGTATTTTCCCAACTACACGCTTGAAGAATAGCTTAAGAACCCTATTCGTCTACAATTATCGTTGTCAATGTCGGTAACCACAATCCTATGAGCATTCGTATTAGACAAGGAGGCAAATCAACGGCATTGGCAGCACCAATATCAACCATCACAACCATAAATCATCGACAAAGTCTCTAATTCGTCACCTTCTTGCGTTTTTTATTTCTTTCACCCGAGGTCGAATCCTGTTTCTTATATAAAGTTTTTTTCTCACTGTTTCACTTTATTCAATGACTCTTACATTCAGCCTATATTCTCTTTCACTACTGTCTGTACTTAGGCGAAGAGACGACACCATCGTCATCCCAACCAGGAGAGCTCACCAACTTCAGCGCCGATGATCGTTGGGATTAGTAGAGTCAGGGGCAGACGCAAGCTATGAGGTATGGAAGAGCTGTTCTACTGTTATTTCGATTTCGAATATTGGGGATTTTCTACTTATCACATCTTTGTCTCATTTTTCTACACCTCCACCTCCGCTATTATAAGATGGAAGGAAAACCCTATTGAGTTCTAAAATTAGAAAGTTCTTGAAGAAATACAAGCAAATTTATAAGCTCTATAGCTCCAAGGAAGCATATACAAATGGGTGATTGCTGCACATTGCAGTTGTTGCTATTGCAATTATCACAATACAAATTTGGAATCAAAATTTATGCTTTTTTTATGTACTTTGGGATCACCTTTAGAGATAATTTTTTCTTAGATGCTTGATAATAGATAAATCAATATATAATAAATTAGCTCAAATGAAAGTACAATAAGATAATATTTTTGCCATGATGAGGGTTTGAAGAGGCATGTAATGCCCCTGTTTCTGGGTTAAAAGCATTAATAAAGTTGTAAAAGTCTAGGTCAACCTTTGTAACTCATTTAGAAGTAGTAAAGAGGAATTATGTGAATATTATGTGAATTATATGCTTATTTGCTTAATTACTATGACTTAATTAATTAATAATAAAAATAAGCATTTAAAATAAATATTATAAAAAGCCGATATCTTTTAAGAACGTTGCAGTGGCCGAAACAAGGATTCCGGAGATATAAAGAACGTCGAAATCCGAGTTATAACGAAGAAGTTATGACCTGTCGAAATTTCGCGACAAAACCGGCACGGCACCGGGAAGCGTAAAAAGTAAATATTACGATAAAGTGATTTTTAGCCTTAACAATCTAAACTAAAGTCATAGTATTCGTTAAACCGAGAAGTTCGATAAAAAGAACGCCCAAATCTGACTTCGTATGAGCAACTTATGATTTTTCTAAGTTTTAGCTTAGCAGTAGACAACTAAATACTCGAATTTAAGATCAAGCGAAATTTAGCCGACACAACCTAAACGAGAATCGAAGGTCTCGTCAATAGTAGTACAACGGTAAAAAGACTGACGAAAACGGACGTCAGATGAAGAAGTTATGAAATTTTAACGGATTTTCCTGTCCCGGTCTGTTAAAAATAATAATATTAAAATTAAAGTCAAAATTAGCCAACGAAGTCTGAACAAAAGTTGTAGAGCATGATTTTAGCTACGCGTGCATATAAAGAACGTCAAAAACGGAGCTCATATGCGAAAGTTATGGATTTTAGAAGTTCGTGGCTCAAAATTCGAAAAATTTCGCATGAACAGTAACCGGACACGTCACCTCGCACGAAGCTGCTGCGTCACCGAGGACGTGGCCGAATCCGGACCAGACGCGTGTCGCAACTCCCTCGGACCGAAGCCTCGGCCAATCAGAAGACGCCTCGTGGCAGCCGCGTGTCCACCCCCGCAGAGACACGTCCGAGCCTCGTAGCCAACCTCCGTGTCTCGCCTCGCTGCTGCCACACGCCTCGTTCCCTCGCTGCCACCTCCTCCCTTCGTCACCGAGCCTCGCAGGAGCTACGTGGAAGCTTCTCAGCCACGGAGACCTCAGCCTCGCACCCTATAAATAGGGGGGCTGCGAGATCTCTCGACTACTTTTGAAAACTTGACATTTTTCACCCCTAAACTTATATTTTGACTATTTTGACTTCCCCCGAAGCCCCGGTATCATATTTAAAGCCCAAAATACGTCCCGAAGTGCCCGAAAACCTGGAAAATTTTATTTTTTCGGTTTTGAAGCTCCAAATCTCGCAGAGCCCGGTTTCTCAATAAAACTCCCGGTTTTATCAGAAACGATCATTTTAAGGAATGGATTGTTGTCCGATTATCATCAAATCAAGTGAGTGTATAGTCACTTTCATCTTACACATAGATATGAAGTATTTTCTATGAAATACGTGTTATGTGTAATTATAGTGATTGTTTATTTGAGATGATTGTTGAATACAATGTTTTATACAAGTTATAAACTGTATATGTATTTTATCTACAAATATGTTGGGTAGAACATGGGTAGACAAAATAGTTGATGTGTGTTAAAATGATGAGAGGCCTCGATGTTGTTGTTGTTCCAATCATCTAGCGGAGTATGGATGACGACCACGGACTCTTCTAGACAGTCTAGTGGAACGCTAGCAGGCTCGCAACCTGTAGGTGTTGTGAACGATGTGTTCACCGGTGTACTCCATCCCCCTCATGGTTGCCTTTAGGACATTTATTGTTGAGGAACCCCCTTAGCAGTAGTGACCATCCCGATGATTAAATCCTTAGACTAGGTCCCTTGTATAGGTGTTTAGGGACGTAAAGTGAGGATAACGGGAATGGTAATCAGGGTTATTGTTGGTTGATGAAATTAATAAATTTATTGTTGATCGATGAAATTAATAAATTTATTATTATTTGTGAGTTGAAAACCCTATATGCTCACCAGGCTCCCAAGCCTGACCCACTCAGCTTTCTGTTTTACAGGTAGTGGACTCAGAGCATAATTATGATGATGATGATGAGGGAATTTGGATTATAGGCCATTAGTTGTAAAGAACTATTGTAAGGCTTATAATGTACTATTTATACTTATGTACTGTATCGAACAT